CACCCCTCCCTCTTCCATCCCCCTTTCCTTTCTCCCCTTCTTTCCTCCTTCCTTTCTCCCCTTCTTTCCCCCCTTCCTTTCCTCCTTCCTTTCCCCCTCCATCCTCTTCCTTTCCCTTTCCATCCCCTGTGTTAAAGCCATTCAGGGTTCAGCACCTGCTGTTCCATGTGCAAATTTAGCTCCAGATATAAAATCCTGGAATGGTTTGGCTTGGAAGGATCTTAAATCCCATCCAGTCCCACCCCCTGCCATGGGCAGGGACACCTTCCACCAGCCCCGGCTGCTCCAACCCTCATCCAACCTGGCCTGGAACACTTTCAGTGATGGAGCAACCACAGAGTCTGTGGGCAAAATTCCAAAGCCCATCCAACCAGGCCTGGAACACTCCCAGGGATGGAGCAGCTTTAGCCTCTCTGGGAATTCCATCCCAGCCCCTCACCACGCTCCCAGGGAGGAATTTCTTCCCAATATCCCATCAGTCCCTGCCCTCTGGCAGTAGGAAACGATTCCCTGTGTCCTGTCGCTCCATCCCTTGTCCCAACTCCCTCTCCAGCTCTCCTGGAGCCTCTTCTGGCACTGGAAAGAGCTCTAAGGTCTCCCTGGATCCTTCCCCAGCTCTCCCAGCCTGGTTCCATGGATAAAACTCATCAGGCAGCTGCATTCCCTGTTTGTTTTCCTGCTCTTGGTTCCCTGTGGCACGAGGAGAGGCCTCTGCCCACCTGTTTTTCCAGCATTACTCACCCCACTCCGGCCCGGATGGAGCTGGAGACTCATTCCCAGCGTGTATCCCTTCAGAGTGGTCATTAGCACTAATTAATGGGATGTTTAAATGACCATTTGGCTTTATTCCTTAAAATCTGGGATGGTTTGGGGGGTGGAAAGTGTTGCAGCTCCTTCCTGCCCCTATCCTGGACCTCATGGAATGCAGGAGGAATCCTGCAAATCCCCAAAGGATCCAGGTGGGATGGGAGCAGGTTCCACCTTCAGATTCGAGTGGAAAAAAGGATTTTGTGGCTCAGCCCTTGTCCCTCCCTTCCCAGATTACTGCATGAACCCCCAGACAGTCCTGCTGCTCCGGGTCATCGCTGCCTTCTGCTTCCTGGGAATCCTCTGCAGCCTCTCAGCTTTTCTCCTGGATGTGTTTGGACCCAAACATCCAGCGCTGAAGATCACCCGGCGCTATGCCTTCGCCCACATCCTCACAGGTACATTCCCCCCTGGAAAATCCTCCTCTGGAAAATCCTCCTCTGGAAAATCCTCCTCTGGAAAAACCTCACCAGCCTTGGGGCAAAGCTCCTGATGTCCTTTTTTCCATCCCCAACCCTCAAAGGGATGGAAAAAAACCTCCTTAAAGCACTTTTTTTATTTCAGGGTAGAGGGTAAAATGCAGATGGAATTGGGGTTAAATTTGGGGGGGAAAGGGATTGAGGATGAAACATAGGGAAAGTTTGGGATAAATGTTGTGGGAAAGGGTTTGGGGGTAAAATATGGGGGAAATTTGGGCAGGAAAAGAGGTTAAGGATGAAACAGGTAAAATTGGGGTTACGTTTGGGAGAAGGAGGTCAAGGATGATCAGGAAGAGTCTCCTAACAGATCTTATCATTCCAAGAGCCCCTTCCCAAGGAGGAAGGCCACTTTTCCTACCCCATGAGCTCCAAGGAGCTTTCCCACCCTCATCCCTGCCAGAATTCCCTGTTCCACACCGGAGCAACTCCAGGAACCCCTGAGCCCTCCCTGCCCCCCAAACACTGAGCTCCTTTTTATCCCTAGATGCCACAACAACCCTTTCCCCAAACCTTTCCCTCCTCTGGTTCACATTGCTGTTCACTTTACTCACCCTTGGGATCCTGTGCCAGGAATTTCCCTCCCTTGGGAAGGATTTTGGCTGCCTGTTTCACCACAGACCCACACTCCATCTGCTCTTCTCTACACCCGGATCATCCCAAACCCAATCCCTGCTGGGTGTTTTTCTGGATTATTCCCTATCCCTCTCTGTCTTTTCCAGTGCTCCAGTGTGCCACTGTGATTGGGTTCTGTTACTGGGCCTCGGAGCTGATCCTGGCACAGCAGCAGCAGCACAAGAAGTACCATGGCTCCCAAGTCTACGTCACCTTCGCCGTCAGCTTCTACCTGGTGGCAGGAGCTGGAGGTGCTTCCATCCTGGCCACTGCTGCCAACCTGCTCCGGCACTACCCCACGGAGGAGGAGGAGCAGGCGCTGGAGCTGCTGTCGGAGATGGAGGAGAACGAGCCCTACCCAGCAGAGTATGAAGTGATCAACCAGTTCCAGCCACCACCAGCCTACACCCCCTGATCCAGCACTGCTGCCATCCCCCACCTCCTTCCTCGGCTCCTCTGCCATTCCTGGGATCTCTCCTGCACGAAGGAAAGGACTTTTTTGGGATTGGATTATCAGTGTTTTCTTGCCATCCTTGGTTTTATGGACTCCACGGTGTGGTTTAACCCCTCGCTGGCTCTGTTGGACACAGCAGTGATGTTCCCTCCTCGGAACATCAGCTCTTCTGGGGAATGAGGGGTGTGGGATCCAGCTCCCCCTCGGGATTCCCAATCCCTGCTCCTCCAGGCCACACACCCCTGGACACAGCTGTGTGTATATATCTATCTCTGTATCCCGGGAATTGCCTGTTGGAGGGCAGGAATGGCTCATCCTGCACGGCAGGAGGTGGAAAAACATCCTCCCCCAGCTTTCCCTGCTCCTCTTTTCCCACCACACAGACATTCTGCACTTTATTCCAGGCTCTGGGAAGGACAGTGACACCTCTGGGATCAGCCCAGGGACTGTCCCTGCCGGAGCCCCGAGCGAGGTTTGCACGGCACAGGCTGTGGAAGGAAGACTCTGGCAGGGATTTTTGGGATCATCCAGCTCCTCTTGGCATCTCACTGAGCAAATCTGGGGTGTTTTGAGCCCAAACAAACCCAGACTTTGGCCACAGCTCCTGGGAAAAGCAGGATGAGCCCAGGCTGGAAAAACCAGTGGCTCTGCCTGTAGCTTTTATGCAAATCCCTCCACGCCAATCCCACTCTCCTGCTTTTCCCTTCCCCAAATCTCCATGTTTTCCTGCCCTGCTCTTAGTTTGATGCCCTGTCTCCCTCCTCAATCCTCGAGATGCTCCATCCAGGAGCAAACACTTCCCTGGCTGGTGCTGGAGCATTAGGAAAGCTGATCCAGCATGTCCCAACCTCCAGCTGAGCCTGGAGAAAGGATCCAGCAGATTTTTTGGGCTGTTTAATGCAAACTGGATAGGGAAAAAAAAAACCACATAGGGATTCATCAACCAGCACCAAACATCCTGTCAGAGAATCCTGGTATGGTTTGGGTTGGAAGGACCTTAAAGACCATTTGGCAAAGCTCCAGGCAGGAATTTTAGGCCTGGAATGTAGCTCGTTGTAGGTTCCCACTCTCCCTCTAATGCTTTTAGGAGCTGTTTTCCTGCTCTCTATCCCCCTCATCCCTTTTCCCCCCCTGCCCCTGGCTATGCAAGAGCTTCAGCCTCTCCCCAGGGTGGAATTCCCAGGAAACTCAGCTGGGAAAAGCACCTCCCATACCCTGAAAGGCTCCGAGGAGCCGAATCAACACTAAACCCCTCGTGGCTCCTGCGGGAAGAATGTGGGAGATGCCAAGAGTGGGTGATTGAGGGCTCTGGAGCTTCCCAAAGGGAACATCCACAGGATCTTCCTGGAATCCATCTGGGAAAGGCTTTGGGGTTCCCCCCCGGGGGCTTATATGCAAGGGGGGGTGGGGGGTGTAAATAGTCTGTGCATAAACGTTCTGGATTTGGGTAAAACCCCCCCAAAAAGGGA